AGAAGAGAGGGGAATGAGAGAGCTTTTTGGAGTGCTTGGTCTTGGTGGTGGTTACTCAGTTGTACAACTTCTACGTAGAAGTTCATTGATCTTAAGATTAGCGCACTTTGTGGCATACAAGTTATACCTCATTAAAGAGGTAAATTTAAGAGACTAATTTTTTTTTTAGAGAGAAAGAAAGAAAGAAAGAGTGCAGAGTGGACTGGGGAGGGGCAGAGGGAGAGGGAGAGAATCTTAAGCAGGCTCCACACCCAGCGCAGAGCCCAATGTGGGGCTCGATCTCACAACCCTGAGATCATGAGCTGAGCCAAAACCAAGAATCTGATGCTAACCGACTGAGCCACCTAGGTGCCCCCAAGAGACTAAAATGTTAAGAAATGTGACCATCCACACATTCCAAATATAACATTTTCAAAATAAAGGATAAATTTGAAATAATTGAATGCAAAAACTAACATTGAAACCAAAAACTAACATTAAGAGATTAAGATGCAGCTAAAGCAACACCTAGAGGAAAATGTATAGCTATGTTGAGAAAGATCGATTTGGAGGGCCTGGAGTGGGGCTGGAGGGGAGTCATGAAAGACCATCTTATTTGCCTGTCTTCCCACCACCGCCGCCACCACTGGGGGCCTGACATCCAGTTAATTACAGGGCTGCAATGGGCTTGCTCTCGGGGAAAAAGAAGGAGTGGACAGGTCCTTAACTCTCTGGCTCTCTGGTTCTCCAGTTCTGGGGCTGGCTTTGATTTATAACTTGTCTTCCCTGAACCAGTTGGTACCATGGGCTGCCAGGATTGGAAGAGGAATTTTGGGGTTGGGGGAGGAGAGCATTCTGGGGTGATGGGCCATGGGGGTGGAGCGCTGCCTCCCAGAGTCTCTCCTGGAGGGGGCAGCCTCATCCCTAGGGGAGAGTCAGGGACAGGGGAGGTGGTGGATAAAAGGGAGGGTTTGGGAGCAGGGTTGCTCTATAACACACCAGGGCTTGGGGGTGAAAGGAAAAGAGTACAGACTCTGAAATTCTAGAATACTGGTTGTCGCCTTGGGCAACTCCTTGCCTTTTTGAGCCTCAGCATCCATCTTCTGTAAAATGGGGCTTCAGCATGAAGAGGTGGGATCGGGGAGGGATAAGGAATACAAACTCAGGGACTAACTATGTGGTTCCATCTGATTTTGTTATTTCCCAGCTGGGTGACTTTGGGCAAGTGACTTGATCTCTCTGGGCTTCACTTTTCTGATGTGTAAAATTTGCAGTACCCACCTCATAGGACTGCCGGGGAACTAAACTGTTAAATACACATAAAGTGGGGTGCCTGGGTGGCTCAGATGGTTAAGCGTCTGCCTTCGGCTCAGGTCATGATCCCAGCATCCTGGGATGGAGTCCCGCATCGGGCTCCCTGCTCCTTGGGAGCCTGCTTCTCCCTCTGCCTCTCTCTCTGTCTCTCATGAATAAATAAATAAATAAAATCTTTAAAAAAAAAAAAAAACAACAACACATAAAGTGCTTGGGCCCTGAAGCCAGATGGCCGAGGAGATGAAGGGCGCGTAGGGAAGTAGGTACAAATTATCAGGGCCTGAAGACCCACCTGGAAAGGGACTCTGGGATGACAGTATGACTTTGCTGAGAGGCCTGTAAATTGTCTTCACCAAAGCCTGAACCCACTCTTGGCAGCCCTGTGCCAGTTTGATTCCCAGCTCATCCCTCCCCCACTGCGTGACCTTAGGCAAGTCATTTTACCTTTCTGAGCTTTATTGTTGGCAGTGTTCAATGAGTTAATATATGTAAAGCACTTAGCATCGTACTTGACATATGGGAGTGCTCCATAATACTTAACAATTAGGGTGGGGACTGTGGAGTGGCCCCTCAACATCCATGCTAACCTCTTTCTGGCATGTCCAATTGTCCAAAGGGAGCATGGTTCTGGGGGGCGAGAGATGTTCCTGGTGGCCTAGCCCAGAGCGTGCCACCTTTCAATGATTTTGGAAGCACCTAATATCTGGTAGTAAGGCCCTTTTGCATAAGCTGGGTAGAGTGGTTTCCAATTGACTGATAAGGCTACTATTATTTCCTTAGTCAACAAATACTCATTTATCCTGAGGGCACTGGGGAGCCATGGCAGGTTCTAGCAGGAGTGGTCAGAAGGTAGGGAGTAGGTAGGAGGGGACAGACTGAGGCAGACCAGGGAGGAGGCTAGGGCAGAAGGGAATGTGGAGGAGCTCTTGAGCTAGGGTAGGAGGAGGGATGGACAGGTCTTGGAGACTGATGGCTTTGGAGGGTTGGGGGTTGGGATGAAGATACACCATGGGGGTCTTGGCTCCCCCCCAGGCCAACTGTTTCTATGAGACTCAAAGATAAAGGAGTAGAGCTCAGGATGCAAGGTCCTGCTGGAGTGTTTGGGCCCCTCAGCCCAAGTCACATGACTGGAATATTGCTGCAAAGGATTCTGGGAAACTGAGTTTCTCACCTTTTTGGCTTCTGTAAAGGAGGCTGTCATAGGGTGGGAAACCCCCAAACACAGAAAGTGCTTCCTATGCTCTATGGCCAAAAGGAATGTCAAATGTCCCCATGAGTGGTTACGAGGGCTCCAGGGGAGTGGGCTGGGCTGGATCCTGTCTCTCCCCTGCTCACAGCCCTCAGGGGCTCCCATCCATTTGCAGTGGGATGGAAACTCCTTCATGGTCCCTAGGGTTCTACAGGTCCGCTCCTATCCCTCATCTTCTTCCTCCCACTCTCCACTCTGCCCCATCTGCTCCAGCCTTCCAGCTTCTTCCCTGTCTCTCAGATTTGCCAAGCCACTCCCAGCTCAGGGCTTTGCACCTGCTATTTCCCTTCCAGATCCTCACATGGCTGGCTCTCACCTCTCCCTCAGGTCTCCACTCAGATTTCACTTCCCCTGAGAAGCCTGACCCGGCCTCCCCTGCTGTGCCACCACTCTGACCCCTTACCCTCTTGGATTTTCTGTCAAAGCCCTGTCGACCCCACCACGACAGCATATATTTACGTGTTTGTGCTCACTACCATGTCACCTCCATGAGACCAACGGTTTTGTTTTTTGCTGTGTCCCCCATAAGTGCTTAATAAAGAATTGTTAATTTCTTAATTAATTAATTAATTGGGGTGCCTGGGTGGCTCAATCAGTTAAGCCTCTGCCCTTGGCTCAGGTCATGATTCCCCGGTCCTGGGATGGAGCCCTGAGTCGGGTTCCCTGCCCAGTGAGGAGCCTGCTTCTCCCTCTCCTCCCCCTGCCCCTCCCCCTGCTTGTGCTCTCTCGCTCTCTCGCAAATAAATAAATAAAATCTTTTTTTAAAAAATAAAGAAATATTGGGGCGCCTGGGTGGCTCAGTTGGTTAAGCGACTGCCTTTGGCTCAGGTCATGATCTCAGGATCCTGGGATGGAGCCCCGCATCGGGCTCCCTGCTCGGCGGGAAGCCTGCTTCTCCCTCTCCCACTCCCCCTGCTTGTGTTCCCTCTCTCGCTGTCTCTCTCTCTGTCAAATAAATAAATTAAAAAAAAAATCTTAAAAAAAAATAAAAACAAAGAATTGTTGAAATGATACATGCCTCTCTCTTCCAGTCCCATTCCTTTTAGTTCTCTGAGCCTCAGTTTCCCTAGCCACAAAGGAGAACTTTGCCACTCTGACCTTGGTGGGAAGGGACAGTGGGTGGAGAGATCAGGGGCTGGGCCCCAAGGAGAAATTTTCTAAGCACCTCTTCCCCACCAGGAATCCGGGGAAAGGCAGGGAGGGCCCCCTTTCCCTAGATCAGACCCCTCCTGCCTGAGAAGAAATGGGGAAATGCGGGAGACCCGGGAGGAGGGAGGAACCCCGGAGGGAAAAGGCCGGTCTCCTCTTGGTTGTAATCCTGGGCGCTCCCCGGGCTCCTCCTGCTCCCTGGCCTCGCCCGGCTTGCCCTGCAATCTCGGCGCCTCCCAGGCAGAGGAAACGGCTTCGTCTAGCCGTCGCCGCGTGCACGGAGTGCCCTCCTCAGCCCTTGAGGTCCCGGTCCCCGTGGAGAGCTCCTGCTGCGCCAGGATCTGGAGGTGCGCGAGTCGGGCGGGCGCTCTGCCCTGATCCGAGCGGCCGCCCAGCCCCCTTCCCCTGCGGGCGGCCTCCCGGGACGCCGGCTGCCCTTGTAAGGAGGCGAAGCCGGAGACACCCGACACGCCTGGTTATAATTAACCCGGACACGTGGCCACCCCGCCCCCCAACACCTGTCCCTGCCTCCGCCCACCCGCCCCAGCCCCAGCCCCAGCACCTCGGGTCTAGGTCTTCGAAAAGGCGACAGCGAAGCGCCCTCTAAAAATAAGCTCCCTTCCAGGATGAGTCCCTCCCCGTCCCCTCCGCCGGGGAAATCTCCCAGCGTCTGCCCGGGGCGGACTGGAGTGGGGAGGGCGACGGCCGCCTCCAGCGCCGGCCTTGGTTTGAATCTTCTCGGCTCCGGCGACCCTCCGTTTCCCTCCCACTCACTCCCAAGCAGGAAAGTGCGTCCAAGCGCGGGCTTCTGGGGTCAGGCTGTTCTGCGTTCAGTCCTGGGCTTTGGCCAAGCGCTCCCCATAGTTGGGTGACAAGGGGCGAGTCTCTGGGATCCCAGAGACTTGGCCCTCTTGGGACTATTGCCAAGGTTTCCCCAGGGGCGGGGCTCAGGACCCGATGGTTTATCCAGGTCAAGGCTACTGGGGGCTGAGGAGAGGCCTGGCCACCCGAGGGGCTGGTGGCCTAGTGGCGTGGCTTCTGCGTGCCTGGGACGTCCCCTGCCAGGGTCTCGTGTCCTGGGCGGGGCGCCAGCTGTCCCTGCCAGCCCGACTCAGCACTCGGTGGGGGAATCAGCTGGACGGGGGAGGGAGGCTGGGCTCAGCCCCTGGGGCAGCCCATACAAGGCCATGGGGTTGGGCGCGAGGCATGCCTGGGTTCAGGGTGGGCATGGTGCCCAGGCAGCGAGGTGAGAGGCTCAGCTGCCCTCCAGCTCCCTTCCCTGGGGGCAGCCCCTCCCAGCCAGTAACACAGCCCGGCCCCCCTATATAAGGCCGGGGCTGCGGGCCCTTCCTTTGGGTCAGTGTCGCCTCCGGGATAGAGACAGCCCCTTTCCGCACAGCCCAGCCAGGTACTGCTGGGGTGGGGGTCAGGGTGGGGTCCAGACTGGGGGCCCCCATGGCGCCAGCAGCGCATCCGGTCTCGGGAGTCTGCCCCATATCCTCCTGCACGCAGGGGGGTCAGTGTGTGGGAAGGTTGGCCCCGCGTCTGGGAGTCCCCGCCACCTGTGAGACCCCCCTCCCGCCACCTCGCACAGGGTCTGGGCAACAGCCTCATGGGGAGGGATCTTGGAGACAAAAGGAGACTTGGCAGCTGCCAAGGGGCTACAGGCTGGGTCCGAGTTCATGATGGTTTGTCCCCAGCCCTGGGCGCCCGGAGCCGTGGGCGGTGTCTGTCTGTCCTCTGTCTGTGTGGTCATTGCATTTGCGGGGTCATTGCATTTGCAATTCTGTGGGTCCCCAGTTGTGTCCCACACAACGGTGTGACCTTGTGTCTGACTTTCTGTGGCACCTGCTTGGGTGCCTGTGTCCTGCGTGCGTCCCTGGGCTTGGAGGCATGTGTGTGACTCTATCCACGGTGTGATCTGGGGGGTTATTGGTGATGTGTGTGTGTGTGTGTGGCTCTGGGGCTCCCCCACCTTGCCTCAGCCCCCTCTGCTAAAAGTGTCCCTTGCAGGGTGGGGGTGGGGCACCCTGAAGGGGGGTTTCTGGGCTGCAAGCCCTTGAACCCCCGAGGCCTGGATGCGTGTCCTCCTGGCCACCCTGGCCCACCTGTCTCCAGCCTGCTGACTTGCTGCAAATGGAGCCCCAGGAATGTGGAGGGGTGTGGGGGGGCAGCAGCTGGGGAGGGGAGGAGGAGTCAGCCAGACTCTATAAATAATCCCCAACCCTGGATAGTAGCTCCAACGATCTTTCATGAATCCCATCGCCCCTGGCCTGATGCTTCAGCCTTCGGCTCACCCTGGTCCCAATTTCCTTCCCACCGTTCTACCTGCTTCCTGTTGCTGGAGCTGCCAGTGAGCTCCCGCTCCTACCACCACCACCACTGAAGCGTCCCTCTTCCTTCCTGGGTCTTATGAGTAAAAGTAATAATAGCCTCCAGATAGCAGGCCCCGACTCCGCGTGAGGACGTGTGCCCAGCCGGCCACGCGCCTCAGCCAGAAGAATCCTCTTGGCAAACTCCTGGGCCAGGCTCAGTTTCCAGGTGACAGAGGCTCAGAGAGGCTGAGCACCTGGCTTGGGGTCACAGAGCAGGGGAATGGCACAGGCGGGATTGGAACTCAGCTCTGATGACTGGCTGGACTTTTCTTCTCAACTGAGCCTTGCCAGAGAGTTGTCAGCAAACAGAGAGGACAGCCACCCAGGCTTCCCTTCTGCCCTGCTCCTCATCCCTTGACTGAGCACCCAAGAACCTTCGTGGAGAGAATGTCCCTTCTCTGCTCAGATACTCGTTCTCAGCAATACCCTCCACCTTCTCCCCTGCTCCTCACACAGCCCTTTAAAATAATAGCAACGGTAATTACAATAATAGCTAAGCAAAATAATGCTTACTGTGTGCCAGGAGCATTCCAAGTGCCTAACGTATAGGAACTCCTTTAAGCTCCCTGAGATGAGGGCTATTATGACCCTCATTGTACACATGAGTAATCTGAGGCACAGAGAGGTTAAGCCAGGTGCCCAAGGTCACACAGCTATTGTACAGACGGAGCTGGAATTTAAACCCAGGCTGATTCCAGAACCTACACTCTTTTTTTTTTTTTTTTTAAAGATTTTTAGTTATCATAGAGAGGGAACACAAGCAGGGGGAGTGGGAGAGGGAGAAGCAGGCTTCCCGGTGAGCAGGGAATCATGACCTGAGCCGAAGGCAGACGCTTAATGAATGAGCCACCCAGGCGCCCAGAACCTACACTCTTATCCATGCCAATATTACTGCCCTGTCCCAAAGGCTCCCCCCTTCATCTTCCAGCTGGAGAAACAGTCCCTAGCAAGGTTACTAGTCTGGGGTCACCTGTCAGGGTGTGGCAGAGCTGGGATCTTAACCAGAGTCCTGATGGCCTCCTGTCAAGACACAGGGGCTCAGAGACGGGACCCTTCTTGTTCCAAGTCACACAGCACATGAGTGAGGCCTGTCTGACCCCAAAGCCTTGCTCTGTTCCCTTGCTGGCCTCTGCTGGATGTGAGATAACCTGCCCCACCCCCACTCCCTGCCCAGCAGGCCCCGCACACTGCCACCATGCCATTCGGTAACACCCACAACAAGTTCAAGCTGAACTACAAGCCTGAGGAGGAGTACCCTGACCTCAGCAAGCACAACAACCACATGGCCAAGGTGCTGACCCCTGAGCTCTACAAGAAGCTTCGGGACAAGGAGACTCCATCTGGCTTCACCCTGGACGATGTCATCCAGACAGGTGTGGACAACCCAGGTAAGCCTCCTTGGTGGAGCATGGACAGGGTCTCGGGGCAGGGCGGGGCTCTGGAAGCTGCCTGCCACGCCTCGATCCCACCTCTCCGGGCCTCAGTTTTCCCATCTGGAAGATGGGGGCCATACCCAAGGGACTGTTGTGAGAAAAAAATGAGGCTACATGTGTGAAGGGCTTGGGACAGGACCCGGCGCGTGGCAAACCACTCACAAATGCACACAAGTAAAATGTGGGGAAATCGCTCAATCGCCCCGGGGCCTCAGGTTCCACATCTGAAAAATGGGCACCCATGTGGTGAAAACAAAGGAGTCAGCGCACACACAGCACTTGGAGCAGCCTCTGGGACAAAGTGTGCACTCGGGGTCTGGCGGGGGATGTTCTTTCTCCAAGGACACCAGAGCCCCGAGAACGGATCCTAGCCTCCAACTCATTGTGTGGTTGAGGAGGGGCCCCCCTCACTCTGGGCCTCTGGTTCCCCATTTGGGAATACGAAGGTCTTTCAAGTCTCTTATTATCTGTGGGAGCCAATAGTCTAATACGTTTCTGAAAACTTTTTGGTGAAGGAAGAGTCTGTGATCTGGGGATTCTGAAGTGGTAATATTTTTAGTACCTTGTAGCTGGCCTCCCGAGACTCCTTCTCCTTTGCCCTGCCCCCAGCGCCTTTCCCTCAGCCCAGATGCCATCTCGATCTCTTCCAGCCTTCCCTCTCCATCCCCACCAACCCCCAGCCTCTGCAGTTCTGACCCAGAGGTCTTGAATGACCCCCTGCCCACGCACACACATACACACACACACACGTGTGTGCATGCGCACATACAATCTACACTGGACCCAGGAGCCCGGGCCTTCCCTGCTGGGGACAAGCACCTCTGACCTCACCCCGAACCCCCAGGTCACCCCTTCATCATGACCGTGGGCTGTGTGGCTGGTGATGAGGAGTCCTACCAGGTGTTCAAGGATCTCTTTGACCCCATCATCCAGGACCGGCACGGGGGTTACAAACCCACCGACAAGCACAAGACGGACCTCAACCATGAGAACCTCAAGGTCAGCTGCCCCCAGGCCAGGGGAGGGACAGGGGAGAGAGGGAGGGCGGAGGTGGGAAGGAGCATTCAGAGAGACACAGAGACAGAGGGAAAGAGGCACAGAGAGGCACAGAAGACAGGGAGACCGAGGACAGAGCGGGGAGTCAGATGGGAGGAGGGACAGGGAGGGAGATGAAACAGGAAGCGGGGACAAAGATGGGGAAAGACATATATGGACGAAAAAAAAGAGAGACAGATGAATGGCTGGGAGAAAGATGGAGGGAGAGACAGAGAAGGAAGAGGCAGAGCCAGGGTGGCGGTGGGAAGAAGCCAGTGGACAAAGAGGAACCAAAGGAAGTGGCAGAGAGTCAGAACCGGAAGCATGCCCAGCCCTGACCCCCCCACTCCTGCCCTCCAGGGTGGAGACGACCTGGACCCCAACTATGTGCTCAGCAGCCGTGTCCGCACGGGCCGCAGCATCAAGGGCTACACACTGCCCCCCCACTGTTCCCGGGGTGAGCGCCGGGCAGTGGAGAAACTCTCCGTGGAAGGTGAGAATGCCCACCCTTGGGGCCACCCAGCTCTGGCTCAGCTCCTTCATGGAAAGAGCTTGGTAAATAAAGCAAGGGTGCTTGGTGCCCGGTGGGAGTCAGGGGGCGCTGTCAAGGCACCCTGAGCAGATCCTTGCAGACCCTCAACTGTACCAGTGTCCTGACCTCCATCCATCCATCCATCCATCCATCCATCCATCCATCCATCCATCCAGTCAGCCAGTCAGCCAGCCAGCCGGCCAGGCAGCAAACATTGACTATTGTTATGGTCCTGAGTAGGGAGCTGGGGCTCCCATGATGAATAAGATGGACAAGGTCACTGCTCTCACAGAGCTGTCAGCCTGGTGGGGAGATAAGAGGAAACACAGAAACCAACAAAAGAATGATTAATTCCAACATGCCATGTAGCCAAGAAATAAGGGTGCATCACGGCATGACTGGGGGGAGCTCTCTTAGAAAGGAGGGGTTGAGACCCAGTTGACAAGAAGGAGCCTGAAGAATTCCAGGCAGGTGGAGTGGCAAGTGCAAAGGCCCTGAGGTGGGAAAGTGTGTTGGAGGAACAGCAAGGAGACCAGCGTGGCTGGAGCTGAGTGGACCAGGGGAGGAGATGTGGTCAGAGGAATATGGGTGGCCAGGTTGTGCAGAGCCCTGTGGGCCGTCCGGAGGGCTCTGGCTTTGACTCTGAGGGAGATGGAAGCCTTGGGAAGATGGTGAGCAGAGTAAGTCCACAGGACTTACATGGAGTTCTCTGGCCATTGAGTGGGAGTGAACAGACTGTGGGCAGAAGTAGGAACAGAGGGACCGTAAGGGGGCAACCACAGTGGTCCAGGCTCCGGGGTGAAGGATAGGCAGTGGGATGTAGAGAAAAAGCGGGTATGTTTGGGAGGTAGACTCATCAAGGCTCCCAAGCATGTTGTTCTAGTAAATGTTTAACAACCAGCTCTCAAAAAAAAAAGCCCCAATTTGCAGCAACTGCCAGTTTCCATGGTGTAAATTCTCCCACCATGACTATTTTTAAGCTATGAACATGATGTCATAGAGAGATGGGAAAAGATGCACAGTAACACATCGTTACATAGTATTCCCATCATCAGATAGAGATGAAAAAGCTTGAAGAACATAGATAATAAAGATGTAGTAAAATAATTAGGAAGTGATCATTTTGAATATTTACTACCTGTGGGGTTTTTTTTTTTACTTCATTTTTTTATTTTTTAATTTTTTTTAGTGAGAGAGTGAGGAAGGGCAGAGGGAGAGAGAGAATCTTAAGCAGGGTCCACACCCAGCGCAGAGCCTGACGTGGGGCCCAGTCTCACAACCCTGAGATCATAACCTGAGCTGAAACTAAGAGTCAGATGCTTAACTGACAGAGCCACCCAGGTGCCCCTTATTACCTGTGTTTTAAATATAATTTATTTAATTGGAAGTTTACATAAATTATTATTATTATTTTTTGACTAGGCTCCACACCCAACATGGGGCTTAAACTCATGACCCTGACATCAAGAGTCACATGTTCTACTGACTGAGGCAGCCAGGGGCCCCTAGATAAATTAATTTTTTTAAAGGTTTTATTTATTTATTTATTTATTCATCTGAGACACAGAGATAGAGAGAGAGAGAAAGAGAGAGAGAGAGCATGAACAGGGAGAGAGGCAGAGGGAGAGGGAGAAGCAGGCTCCCCGCTGAGCCAGGAGCCCGATGTGGGCCCCCATCCCAGGACCCCGGAACCATGACCTGAGCTGAAGGCAGACGCTTAACCATCTGAGCCACCCAGGCGCCCCAAGGTTTTATTTATTTATTTGAGACAGAGAATGAGATAAAGAGAGAGCATGAGAGGGGGAGGGTCAGAGGGAGAAGCAGACTCCCCGCTGAGCAGGGAGCCCGATGCGGGACTCGATCCCGGGACTCCAGGATTATGACCTGAGTCAAAGGCAGTCGCTTAACCAACTGAGCCACCCAGGAGCCCTAGATAAATTATTTTTAACAATATAATACAGTATAACACAGTGCCTTCGGC